AGCTTTCAGCCTCCCCAGCTAACATTCCATCTGCCTGTAAATCCACCCAGCCCGTCTGGGCAACTGTACCCAGCCAGTGTGTCCTCTGGTGTCACTGTCCCCATCCCAGTTCTCAAAAGCAGCAGCCTGACAACGAGACATAAACGTCATTCTCATCTCTGAGCAATGAATCAGTGCACAGGAATATCGTTCAGGTGAATTATGGACCCTGTCGATAAGAAGCCGAGAGGTAAAACATTCATTTGCTTAAGTTGACTGAAAATGCTTCTGTTCTGACACCACAGTTTGAGTGGTGGTGGCATCTGGCTCCAATTTGATTGTAGGAAAGAAAAGCAGGAACACATTGTATGTCCTGCTGTCCACGGCAATCAGCACAAGCAATTCTACCTTCTGCAAAGCTCACCCACAAACAGAACCGCTTCCGTCTCCCACCTCAAATACACCACACGAGTGTCTGTGTTCTTTTGCACCTTGAGGTGCAAACTGCCCCCGGGGTGCTGCTGAGAGGACAGCCAAGGCACAGGCTCCTCACGCACCTGGACACATCCTGGCCAGAGAAGGCAAGTTTTACATCTGTGCAATACGTCCTTATTCATGACAGACCCCGAGTTCTGCACGGAACCCTTGCCCTATGTGGAAAGATACGTACTGGTACCATGGAAGTTCTCGAAAATTCCTCCCCCTCTCCTTACCCCAGGTAGACATGAAACACCAGATTTCAGCTGGAGCCGCCATTCTCCCTCCTTCAGGGTGACAGTGTCCTTGGCACACTGGTGCCCACCTGCAGCAGGGGCAAAGGTGACATTGCCCTGTGGGACACATAGCAAAATTCCCTGCAGCAAGCACAGTGCAGGCAGAACTGTGCTTTTGTTTCTGCCAGTGGGAGATGGGAAAGATGTCACGGGAGCGGAGAGGAGGCAGTGGAGGCAGGGCTAACAGTTCTCACTGTGCAGCCAAGGCCAACCAACATGATCCTCCTTCCCATTGCCCAAATCTCGGGAGGAAGTGGATGTCCCCTGGGGATTACAGCCCAACAAATTTTGGGAACGGTGCAGTTGAGGGACCTGCAGTGGGGAGCAGGTGTTTAGGAGACTACGGCTGCCAGAGCAAACAGCCATCTGGGTATACAGGGCAAGGACTTATAAATGAGGCAGATGAGTCACTCGTACAGTGAGTCTTTGTATGAAAAGGGCCAGGTACAAGGTACTGAAATATTCCTATCCCCTGCGGCTTCACCACAGTCCCTGCCTGAGGGAGAGGAATATCAGTCTATGGCTCCTTGAGGAATGGTGATTTATCTCTTTTTCAGGCCTCCCCAGACACAGGCAGGACTAAGGTTTTGAGGACTCAGCAGACCTACACACAGCCTCGACCCCTGCATGCAGCTGCCCTGCCTGGTAACCTGAGGACAGCAGCAGGAAAGTCAGCAATCCTTCCCTACCGCTAGGCAGGGAAGAAATCTTACCATGCTGAGGTCCGAGCGTCTCCCACTCCAGGTGTGCATTAATGATCTTCATTACTCCTCAACTTCTTTCTTATCAAAATTATAGCAGCAATATCACCAAAATAGTCCTCTGACCACTTCACATGGGGGCTTATAAGGTCAACATTCCCCAGTTCTTTTGAACACTACTCATTTTCTTGAGTCAGAGCTCAGTCTGGAAAGAGGCGTGCTTTATTAAAAAGAGAAGGCATTTGAGGATTTTTCAAACCACAGAAGCAAGAAATTGATACCTTAATATACTTTACCTAGTACATGTGCTGTCAGAGCATCCCTCACCCAAAAAGACACTGCCTCTCAACAGCTGCTCCATTGTGCGGAAACATCAACAGCTCCCTCCTGTCTAAGCCATAGATTGAGGATGCAGCCCACAATCAGACTGTCAGGAACAAAGCCAACGCACATCTGGGCTCTGCACTCCTCTGATACCAGCAGGGTGCCTGCGCACAGGCCTGTTGCTCATCAATGCTCTTTGGGAGCCGGGTATGCTGGGCTCTTCCTAGCTCCAGTACTGAGGGACTCACATGAATCCTCCCCCGTATCCCAAAGCCGACAGCCCTGCCATGATGCCTCCATCCACCGGGCTGCTCTACAAGAAGTAAGCATGGCCAGTCTCCTGGAAATGAGCAACAAACCAAGGTTTTCCTCCCCAGTGCCTCACCCCAAGAACGAGAGCCAGGTCCTGAAATCGGGGGACACTAGGAGGAATAGCAGTTCTGCTAGAGCAAACACCTCAAGACCTGGGCAGTGGCTCTGCCATGCAAGTCACCTTCGGAAGCAGGAGACCTCTGCATCACCTCCTCCCTCCTGCTGAGCATCAGGGAGATGGGACCAGACAGGTGTGAAACTACACTTCACTGTGACTCCGTGAAGCAAAACCCGACTGTCAAATCAGCTTGTCTGCTGCCATTTCAGATAACACAAGTGCTGTCAAACATTTAGCCTTAGCTGAGCTCAGCAAGGTGATGTTCTTGTCTGCTCAATCCTGAGATGCTGGGAAGGGTACCATGGGATTCCGGTCGCCATCTGTCGCTGCTCTGTGGACAATGCAAAACAGCTGCTCAGACTGAGGCAGGCAAGAGGCAGCCGTAAAATACTTTCTTCATCATTCTCTTAGTCTATGGTTTGGCTCCGTTGTTAGCCCACTGCAGTGCTGTTGCTGAAAACTGTCTTCTGCATCTCAGTTCAGGTCACTCCGTTTCACAGGGCATGCAGAAGCTCAGCAGCAGAGGCCCACAGATCAGTATCCAGGCAACAGCAACTCTGCTGCCAGACCCATTGAAAGCAGACAGCCAGTGGATCTAGGCCGCAGATCTCTATCCCCTGAGAGATTCCCTGGTCAAAACGGAAAAAGACAGGTGCCACCAGGAAAAGTTTTGCTCATGAGAACTATAGCTTCCCCAAAGAAATCCCAAAAAAGAATAAAAACCCAACCCAGGAAGAAACAGACAGACCAATTACTTCATTCTGCTCCAGCTGCAGAGCAGTATTCATCAGTGCATGTACCAATCAAAAGCCCTTGCAGTACCGCAGAGCAGCCCAAACTTCAAATGCACCCTTTGCTGCCAAGCAGTTGCCCAAGACTGCGGCCCAGAGCACGTCTGAGCTGCATTTGCAAAGGGAGGGGTGGGCTGCCAGTAGCCATCCCAGCACCAGCCTCACTGGGCTGCAAAAGTAGAACTCTTAGGCCCTTGTAAATTTTCTTCTGCTCTCAGAGGTTTATGGTGGAGAAAAGAGATGGACTGTCAAGTTTTTTAATTGGTGGAACCTTGTTTTATCTTTCCAATGCCAGGGTACCAGCCAACAGCTTTCGGGTCAGCCTATCCTGTTGAATCCCACCTTGTTGTCACTCTGTTCCTCCGTAACTGTAACCAATACAGTGTCCTGTAGCAGCTACCACTGCCACCCAGCAGTCCCCACCACAGCCACTTGTGCATCGGAGCTGGAATCAGGACAGATATTTCATTTTGCACGCTCCTTGCCCTCGAGACCTGAAGAATTCTCATCAGAAGAAAACAGTGCACACTGGGTTGCATGTTATATCCCTAGCAGCAGGAAGCCTAACTGGAGAGGATGTAGCAACATTAACTGGACTGCACATGCCAGTGTGAATTAAAAAAGAAGCCTCCTTTGCAAACAGCGAGGGTTAAAGAAGAGCACAGACAATTCCAGAGAGGTTACTAACCATAAAAACACTCTCATCTGAGAAGCTGTTAACAGTGAGCAGTTCCACACACGCGCAATCACTTTCTAAGCAGAGGATGGCCTGGAACAGAGCAAGGGCTGGTAAATGCACACCCAGGGTTGAGCCTGCAGCTAGTCATAAGGCTAATTGACTTGAATCAGTAACAAGTCTGCTGCTGCATCATCTCATCTAAGCCTCTCTACCTTCTACCTTTCATTACTGACTAACAAACACATTCATCAGTCACTGCCCGATACTCATTTGTAGGCTCTGTTACTACCTGTAACATTAGCGCGCGTGAGGCCAAGCACAGCACCGAGTGTCAAGTCCTCAGAGAAGGAGGCTTCAGCAGTACCAAGGCTGGCATTAACCCACTCAGGATCCCAGAGATCTCACAACGGGACTGAAAGGGAGGCCACACATGCCCAGAGCAGAGGTCTACGTAGAAAAAACAAAATCAAAGCAACATAATGATCTCTAGTCTCCATCCTTGGAGCTACCCAAAAATTTGGAAAGTACTTCAGGTAGTACTCGGGTGTCAGACAGTACCGGGCTGAGGCTACACAAACCAGGGTCAGCATTCAAAAAGCTGCCCAGCTCTGCCCTCAGAGACCAGTATCGTCCTCTCAGGAAGGCCAACAGTAATCCAGCATGCATAACTAACGAGCACTTGTAAGAGAGCACATAATCTTTGACCCTCTTTCATTATCAGCATGGCAGGTCTTTATTTCACAGTTATCAATGGCTAGAGAGATGAGTTACATACTGCAGCATCCACAGATAGGCAGCAAATTGTAGTTAACAACGTGGTACTCACTTTAGGTTTAATGACAGGATGTGAGACTGCACCGCTGTGCTCAAGGTACCAAGGCAACTCCAAAGGCTGGTAGTGAAAACAAGATACTAAACCTAGAAAAACCAATTGGCCCAACTAGGGCTTAGGAAAAAAAAAAAAAAATCACATTGATATCAGGGGAAAAAAAACCCAAACAATTCAAGCAGCAGCAAGTAAGAATGTCCCCAATGGGTTACCGATAACATGGGCATGTTACAGAACAAATAGGAGAGGGAGAAGCTCAAGGCTAGTCATAACCACAGCGAGGACCAGATCACAGCAACATATTTGACTACACGGAGCAACACGCCCGATGCTTTTTGCAGTGTGTTAAATTCGTCTGTCTTCATCCCTTCCCAGCCAACTCACAGCCCAGCAGTTAGTTAGAGCACTGTGTGCAAATACAGTCAGTGAGAGCAGCCCACAGCTCCCCATCCCATAACGGACCAGTGTAGCTCATCGGAGGCTTGGAAAGCGTAAGCTGCACAACGCACAGGAGAACAAAGGCAGGTGTAAGCTCTTGCCAACCACGCAGCACAGCTTGGTGCCCTGCTCACGCAGCAGTCCCAGACAAGGCCACCAAAGTCTCTGGATACAGTGACCCTACCCTATGGAGGGCCACGGGAGAGCAAACTGCAGCACTCCTCCGGCTGACCTGGACTCAGCTTCCACGCTGAAAACAGAGAGATGCTGGAAGGGCTTGGACACTTCCCAGAGAATTAATATGGCCTGTAGTTCCAGTAACTGGAGAAAACGGAGATCTGGAAAGCAAGAAGAAAAGCAGCTAAGTTCCTGTATCCCTTGGGTCATGGAAGAAAGAGCACGTAATGGGTGTGTGAAGACTGTGATTTACAGCATTACACACTCCAGGTCTGCAGAAGGACAGATTTGCTACTACTGTCACTGAAGAGGCTTAGAGCACAAAATTTCTTGCTCAAGGCAGCAGCCAGGTGAGCTGCAGAGCTGGAACTGAACATTGGTCTACTGGAATCTAGTTTGCTGAGGTCTCCATGCCTCCTCTCCAGCACCCTATCATTTTCTTACATCCACCACATGACTGAGAACACAAAGTGTCTACCTGCTCCTCGCCATCTAGGCACTAGTGTGGCAAAGACATCCATCACACTACTACACATTATCCCAAACTGCTGTCTGCTAGGCTGTGCCAGCAGCTCCCTGGCACCAAAGCGTGGACTCAACACTTGTTTCAGTTTAGCTCTCAGCTGTACAGAATAACATCACACCAGATTTTTAGGAGACGTGAGGTCCTCCCAAAAACCAGAGTTAAAAACAAAGCCCCTTCTCCAAGATCATTACCTTGTCCTTCAGCTGCTGGCAAAGCTGCAGTGAAACTGTGAAGAAGACAAGGGCGTCATTTAACCATGGGACAACACATTCCACTTTATGGACATGGCTGACTTCATACCGCTGGTTGCCAAACTCACTGGAGTGGGGAGTGGAAAAAAAGAGTACAGCTTCAAACACACAGCACAGAACACAAAATTCAATCTGTCCTCCATTGTCACTGAAGAGATTATGATTTCTACTACACTTAAAACAGCACCTGGCAAAGTTATAGAATACAACCTCTCTGACTAGATTTAGAGTTAAGCTAAATCTAACAGGGTTAAGGCAGAAGCTTCACCATTTTCCAGACAGGCAACAAGACAGGAAACGCAGATGGCAATGTCAATAACCTCACGTTTATTTCTGTTGACAACTCTCATCTCTAGGCAAACTCACGGCACTGTATGGGTGGGCTGCATCCTGAGCAGTCATATATTTGGGCCTTTATGACGGAGTCGTTAGAGAAACACTATTACGGGTCCCTGTGCATTCACAGGCACGGCAAGGGACTCAGTCCAGCTTCTTCACTGAACAGATGCTACAATCAAAACTGGAGCCATCTGGACTCACCCTCAGCACACTCCTACACCCACTACACAGCCCTTGTGGTGACTGTACTTACAACATGGCTCCAGGGTTGTGCAAAATGGACCCTCCAGCAGGCTTGAAGTTCTAGAAGAGAAAGAAAAGATCATTAGGATTTTGACACAGTAAACAAACTACTTAGAAGGATGTTTAAGGTTTGCACTTTCAGGAGCCCAACATCAAGAAACACCTAGACTGTATCTCCTGAATACTCCACTCAAATTGAATCCACGTCATTTGATCCCTTCCTACTCCTTCACCAAAAAAGCTCTAGATACTGGCTGAGTCCAACTTAGCTCCAAATTTTAGCACCACAAAAACAAGATGAGAAGATCCAGACGAAAAACAAAGATGGACTTTAAGAAAAATACCCATATGGAAGGGTCACATTTTGTAAAGCTGAGTTTAATACTGATTTTACAGGACATCAAGCTGACCCAAATGCAACAGGTGAAGCAGAAAAGTATCCATCAAAACCGCATTCAGAAAACCCAGGATGTTACTTAGATGTAAACAGTATTTATAAATTTTTGCCCTTCCAAAATTACCAGACTACGTTGCAAGATAAAGCATTACTTGGCAAAAAAACCCAGTTACTGGCTTTCTCCAAAGCACTGGTATTTCTTTCTGAGATAAGTGGCCATGCCCCAAACTAGATTTAGAGCCTGTGTTCTGTCTGCAGCAGATCTAAACACAGACAACAGTTACAGTCATTTTGCAATTATCTTAATGTGCATAACATTGCACCACGTAGCGACGCAACCTCCTCCTCACGGCAGGACACAGGGAGAGGTAAACAAACACAGCTCAGGAGACAGCAGGCATCACCTTGGTTGTGCTGGGCTGCAGTACATGGAGTTGGTAGATAGTCAGGCACAGCTTATTCAGGTTAATATAAAAATTCACAAGGATGTCTGGAGGCAGAGCAGGGGTGAACATTTTCTGGTGAAAAAATAAGAAGTTTCTCTGTCAGTGAAAGGACCATTATTTCGAACGCTGGGAAATCACTACCTTTTTCTACTACTATAGTTACTCCACAGTGAGAGGGACATTAGGAAAGAAATGAAGACTAAGCAGTTTGTCAGCAGTGACTGTTCCTCTTGCTGCACTTGATCAAATCCTGTGTGCACGATGGGGACAAGGGGACAAAGCAGTGTTCATAAGGACAAATCATTCCTGGACAAGATTCCTGGGCAGAGAATAGAACCTATTCTCTGAGAACCAGCGTCCTCAGGCCCAAGTCAACTGCTTTTCCCTGGGAAGACACAGAGCAGCCAAAAATGCTCTGGGCTTGCACCTACTTCATCTCTCTCTGTCTCAGGAGACACTTCAGAAATCTACTTTCCACTATGATGCATCGCAATATCCTACTGGTGAATGCTGTCAGACTGTACGGAGATCTAGAGCACCACATACTCACTGTGAGACCACTGGAAGCAACCTCTGGTAGAGTCAGGGTGGCTGGAGTGGTAAGCCGATTGCGGGCTCTTGAGAGCTGTAACATCACAGCATCCATAAGCTACAAAACAAGCGACAGTTCACTGGTGAGTGGTGAGCCCTGGACAGCTCTGGACAGCGGGCTGCACAATCCTAGAGCCTGTGGCAAACGTTACAAAAACCACCACTCCCCCCACCTTGTCCTTCCAAGAATTCAGGGACTTTTTGGAAAGGGGTGGCTCCCACATAAATGCAGTTTAACTGTTACTGTTGTCATAAACACTCTCGACTTGTCTCCCAAGCATCTAACTACCAGGGACTGAAGAGAAAACAGCTCTTCATTAGAATAAGAGGACATGAGATCAATTACTGATGCCACAGAAGCATCGAACTCATCTTCAGCTCTTCTGAAGAGCAGGCCTTAAGGAAAAACAACCTGTGTTCTAGTTCTCCCCATTCCCACATCTCGAGTCTAAATGCTGAATGCCTGATTCCCGTTCATAACCAAATATTAGCTTGGACACTAGAGAAAAAAAAATAAAAATGGCTCATTGTGAGTCCAATCCTGCCGTAAACCACAGTTCAAATGCTCTTTTCAGGCAGATTTCCTTGTCGAAAAAAAAATAGTGGAAAGCAACATGTCTGTTATGGAGCTCGCGATTGCTAAGATGAAGGTATTTTATAACATGACTAACTTCTCCCCTCTACTCCCACCCAAAAGTAAAAAGGAAACAGTTTCATCACGTAGCTTCTTCCTATCAACAGCCCTTGTCCAAGTGGGACTAAAAAGGTTTAGCCTTCTCATGTTTGAGACTAAGTGAAATTCTGGTAGCTTCAGAGAGCATTTCCAAGCAGAGGACTGGGCTTTACTGCCACAGAGCAGCTGATCTGCATCAGATCTCATCAACTGCTACTAGCAAGTGAGAAGTCACTTTCAAATTGCCAGTAAATCACGACTACTAACTGTAATCTTTTGTTTCCTGATGACTTCCTCATTTCTTCTGCCCCCAAAAGCACTGACTGACAGGGAAGAGCATGAGCTGTGTAACCATGTAATCCAAAAAACATCAAAGGAGATGCTCCCAGAATATTACTGCTGTGCAATATGGCACCGACTGCTCACATTACCCTTCATCACCTGCTACTGATGCTAAACCAGTACAGATTCCTGTCAAATATGAGGTCACATGAACACTCCTTGATGCAGATACATATGGGTACCAATGGGGACTCTGTTTCCAGCAAAAGACTCAATACAGTAATGCATGTTAACTGTGTTAGAAGCGACAAACAGAGGCAAGAAAAATGCTCATTCCTACCCAAGCAGAGAAGGTTTTGTTCCTCACCTTGAGAACCTCTGAGCCTGTTTTGAACTGGTAGTTTATATCTCTGTTCATGAGCAGGTAAATGGCTTGGTTAACATGGTTTCTAGCATCCTGGATCTGCAAAGGCATAAATGCAGCCCCGTTAAAGAAACACTCTCTAAAATACCCACTAAAAGCAGGGGTTTCCCTGATTATCTTATTGGTCTCAAAAAACCCAGCGACTTCTCAAACATTAAGGCCCTTTCTCCGAGTAACATACGCTTGCTAACACAACTCTACCAGTGCTGCCCAGATCCATTACAGCATTCTTCACTCAAGGACAGGAGACGCAAAACAGTCTGATATCTATGACCTGGATTCTCAGTAAAAATATTGCTGCTGCCCTGAACAGTGACAACAGGCACTCTCAGCCTGGGAGGACTTTGATTATGACTGTTCAGGTAGGAATTATCAATGTCAATAGCATACAGCAGTCAGGTCTAGCAACAAGAATAATGATTTTCGTCCTTGGGAAGTATTAGAGCTAAAACCAATGACGTAAATAGCAGCAATGAGCAGCAAACATTGATTTCTGATACGGTGCCTCTGTCAGTATTCCAGAGCCCTTCTAAACTATAATTGTTGGGGTTCAGAGTTATCTCCAACACCAAGAACCTGCCATCATGATGCCTGTGTGGAACCTGACCAGACTCAGGATGCAGCTCCCTCTGAGGCAAGACTGCTTGCAGCCAGGAGACAAATACCAAAGCAAGGCTGAGAGGTGTATCCCAGTGCTTTCATGGGAGCACGGACAAACCAGAGGAAGGAGGAAATGGCCTTTCAAGGATTACGACTGCTACGCCCACAGCCTTCAGCTCCGGTGTCTCAGCAACAAGCAGAACTCTCTTCTCTCTCCTAGCACTGTAACTGAATTTAACCGCAGCTGTTTCCTCCCTTAGCTTTTACCACTGGAGCTAATGTGGGATGCACTAGAGCTGCTGCTTGGAGGGCACAGATGCTACAGAGGGGCATGCACCTTAAGTTCACGGTACCTGCTGCAATTTCCACTGCTTGTCTTCCCGAAATGCAAAATGCAGGAGCTGATTGTTTCTGGGCATTTTCAGATTAACATCCTTGAAGAAAGAAGAAATGCATGAGATCAAGCAATCTCCAAACGCAGAACATGGAGACTGCTGGTCCCGCTCCATTCTGCCTCCCAGAGCATCTTGGCAAACTGCTTTCAGCAGTCCTGGCATGGCCAGAACCTCAGTCTTTCCGCAGGAAGATGCTAATACAAAGAATTAGTTGAAAGGCACTTACTCAACTGGGATCCAGACAGGACACAAGACCTATTCTCAGAGGGCCCCAAGGAAATTTGATATTACACAACAAAGGTGTTCAAGGCAAGGAATGTCCATGAAAGTCGACTCCACCACTCACCACAGAGTCTGTGGCAGGGGCGGGAGCGGGAGATGTTAGATGCTGGAATGTTAAGGATTTAAACCCCAGCAGGGAGGACTGGGAAAGAATACTTATTGATCACTAGTAAAGCATGGTAAGGATGACCTCTCCCTTGAGGTCACGAAAGTGTAACAAGGGTGACTTCCACCCCTTTGTCGTAGTACAAAGCAAGAACCACGGCAAGTACTCACAGCTTGACACAGGGCATCTCCCTGCAGCGTCAACACACCTTTCACCTGGTCTGTGCTGGAATGAGAAAAAAGATCTGGGCAACACAAGTCACAAAAACTGCTAACCTGACACTGCCCCTCCCTGTCTCATGCCACCAGCCAAGTTCCCCTCCTTCCAGGAGTCAGCCGGGTGATGCAGTCAAACTCTACACACATTTTAAAGTCCCCAGCTCTTGGGGTACTTGTCTGGCCTGCAGCCACGTGCTGTCATATTCTTTACGAGCCACCTCACCCTAACTGCCCTGCCTTAAAACATTATGTTCAAATCTGACCCCACGCTCACTTCATGTATTACATATCAACAACTTGGTTTCAGTTACAAACAGCTCTAGCAGGCACAAACACAACATATCAGATGAGTTACTGACATAAGAGTGCTACCTGGCTCATAGGGGAGCCAAAAGCTACAATCACCACCACCCCCAACAAGAAAAAAACCCTAAATAAACACAAAAAACCCACATCCCCCAAAAAAGGTCCTTTAAAAGGTCCTGCAAGATAGCTCACATCAACAGTGGGGGAAGACTGAAGCACCTGGGCCCTCAAGAACTCAATTAAGCCATATCTTACATCTTAATACACTAGAGAGAGATTCTTTAGATCAACACCTTTTAAGATCCTTCTGGCAACAACAACGAATGAAAACTAGAATCAGCTTTAAGATCTGAAGAATGCAACTTTCAAATCCAATACAGAATCACTGCACCATTCTAAAAAATGCTCTCCACACTCTTGCTAAGGATTAAGGTCTACTAACTTGCAACAAGCTTGTGACCTCTGCCAGAGCGCAGCTATTTAGACCAAGGCCTGTGTTGAACATCAAAAACCAGACAGCTATTTCAAAAGAACTGCATTTCTATCGCACCTTCGCACAGGTCTCAGTTTGCAACGTTTTAAGTACATTTATTATTGCTATTTTAGGGAGATTAAGGTTAAGATTTGGCCAGAGCCAGAAACTGAACCATGAGCAGAATTCAAGTCTTGTAACTGCAACTCCTTGCACCCAGAATCAGAAAAATGCCCCTCAGCAAGACTGCCGACAGCAGCACGCTGATGCAAGACACCAGCATGTGGTCAGGAATTAATGACTGTATTACAGGTGTCAGTAGGAAGCTAAGTCTGGCATAAGTCTGGCTAAGGCAGCCCCTGGGACATGGCCGCAGACTGTTACGTTAACCTGCTGTGAGAGTTTGTTCATTTGTTTTCCTTAAGGTGAAATCTCCTGTTAAAGCAGACCCCTCCACTCTGGGGGCGCCACACAGACCTTTGCAGCAGGTGCTCGAGGTGCAGGGCCCCGAGCTGCAGAGGGAAGCCACCGACCGGCACAGGCACCGCTGCCCCCGAAGCGGCCAGGCGGAGCAGCAGCAGCGCGCTGGCCGAGGTGACTTACCCCGAGGGGCTCAGCACAAAGTTCTCCTGCTTGACAGCTCCTCCCAAGCCGCTGGTGGGCAGGGCGAACCGGTGAGAGGCCTCCTGCGCCAGAGAGGACTCGGTTACATTGGCTGGTGACTGTCCTTTAATCACACCTCACTCTTAAAACTATAAGAAATTCTTCAAAACAGATACTATACCTACAGATACTGCAGGTTTCTGTCACTTGCCACTGGCTCAGCACTCCTACCTCCTCCAGCACCTGCCCCTCACCTCCACATTTTTGCCCCTAATCTTGCATAACCCACCAATCCCCCCAGAAACTTCAGAGCATTATGGGTCTGGGCCTCTTGAAAACTAACCTAGCAGGAGAGCGGTGAACTCTTGGGCACACAGCCCCCCGTGGCCAGTTCACCACCCGGCTGCCTGGAAAGAGCCGAACCCAGCAGCCCAGGCTCAGGCCAGCGAAAGGTGCGGCAGGCCTGGTTCAGCTGAACACTTCACACCTCCAAAAGAGCAGATACCGGCAGAGAAGTGAGTGTGTCAAGGGAAGGTTGGTTTCGAATGAGGAGAGCACATGCTATTAACTACTGCACCAGCAGTAGCTTGTCAGCTAAACGTTCCATTTCCACCATCACATGACAGTCGCAGGCAGATCCAGGTTCTCTGTTAGAATAAATATTCACATCTCAGGCTAATACATGGCAGAGAGGTTTGGCTGCCTCCCCACGCCTTTTCAAAGCAGCTCTTGCAGTAAAAAGGGTCAAGAACTGAGCAATCTAGGGGAAATCATCTTTACTGGAAGTCCTTGACACTGGAGGGCGAGCAAACACTTGGACACGTGTGATGGACCTTTCTGTGCACCCTCTACCAAGAATTTTTTCTTTCAGTGGGAATCTACCACCATTCCTCACATGGGAGAGTAAACAAACCCATGACACACACACAAAAAAAGAGATGAAACAGATTAAACATACCTTCAAAATATCCTGCAGCTGTTTCAAAACAGCATGGACCTCTTCTTGTAAAAGCCATTTAAATTCTTCCTCCTATGTTGTGGAAGGATAGCAATGGCATCATTAGAAGTCAAACACTATAAATAAATAATTTTGCTATGTGTCTGAGAGATTTAAGTCCTAAGTATACTGCTGTGTCCATTCTGTTTAAATCACATGCTAGGAGGAGAAGAAAATTATTTATTCACAAGTTGCTGAAAGGCCTTACTCCCCAATTCTCTACCTCAGCCAAATGACTTGTCCTCACTCTTTGTTTGATTTTGCTTAGCAAAGCAGCATTCATTCAAATCACTGTACCAATAATCATAGAATTAGGAAAGAACAGGCAGCATGGGATGTGAATTTCAGACTGAAATACAGATCCTGCTGACACAAAATCTGGGGCATCTTTCTAAGCTGCTGGAGTGGTCACTCCCTCTCCTCAGCACGTCAGAGGGAGGAAATAAGATTAAAAGTTCGTGGGTAGAGATATAGACAGGGTGATCCCTTACCATTTAACGTCATGGGCAAAACACACTCCACTTGCAGACAGATTTATTGCGAATTAGATGGTTAGAAACAAAGGCAAAAACTAAAATGCTCCTCCTCTCCCCACAATGGTATTTTACCAAGCAACAGCAGCCTGAAAATAAAGACAGCTATATTGAAAGGTGGGTGTGGGGAGAGAAAGGCGGAGGAGTCCCAATCATTTTGGCAAATTCAGTAAAAACCAAGGTGGGATGTGATGACACCGCCCCTCGGGCCTCTCCCAGCTGCCTGCTGACAGATCCTCAAACCACAGCCAAGTACTCCTGCTAAACTACAAGAGCTCCCACAGAAGACCACCAGAGAAGCAGGGACAGCGAAGGGACTGACACCTGCTCCTTGTAAGAGAAGTAGTTTTCCATGTGGAAACTACTTGAAGGGGAAGTCCCCCAGCGACAGCAAAAGACCTTCCCCCCAGTATTAATTTCAGGTAGTTCTTTCACCACATCTGGGGGCTACACGCCTGTACTTGTGAGGAATGCTGGTCTCAGCGTTCCGAATCTCACCAGCTGTAGAAGAGCCGCGTTTTCCGGTGCGGCTCTCTGCCCAGCCCA